AGGAGGATTGTTTTTAACAAGGTAAATTGACAATGTTTAAATAGTAAGTGGAAAGCCATTGGTACATCTCTGGCAGCGACACACTCCCTGATCCTAGATCTTAACCCTGCATACCCTGAGTACACCTGAGAAATTTCTAAAAAATAATTTAGCCATTTCACTAATTTTCTGTCCAAGGGAACTAACTCAAGGGAAAACTAGATTCAAGACTCAGGTGAAATATTTCAAAGAAATAATGCATTTCCCAAAAAAAGTAGTTTTGAGTTGACTGGACCTGGGGATGAGGCAGGGGGGAAGAAGGTGGAAATGGGAGGGGAGAAAAGGAAAAGGGAGGAAGAGAAGGTGAAGAAGTCATATATTTTATTTTTACATTTTTACAGAAAACATTTCAATTCTTTTCTTTCAAAATGATATTTGGAGACCACATTTTCTTAATTTCATTGTTTTAAAGTATTAAAAAGTCTTTGTAATTAAAGTGTGTTGGTTGATCTGAACAATTTTTTTTATTTCTTTGAGAATTCAGATTTTTTCCCAATCCACCCAAAACAATTCTCTCTCTCTCTCTCTTTTTATATTATTGGCCAAACCAAGAAAACAATTATTTACACAGTTCTACTTAAGAGATACAATTCTGAAGATTAGTTTAGTATTAGTTTTGAAAATGCAAAGATGATGGACTGAAACCTCTGCAGAAGTAATACTCTATCCATAAAAGAACTACACCAGGGACTATGGTAGTACAGACTTCCTCAGATTTGCCCTACCATATTTCTCATACCTAACCTGACTGTAAGAACTATTTCTACAGTTGTGATTGTAGCACAGAGTTTGATTGCATCACTAAACAATTAAAGGTCTGCCTAGTACAGGGGTGGGTCCACAGTGAACCAGCAGCCCCTGCAACAGCAGTTCCTTCTGGCTGCCACTGCTAGACCCATGGAGCATGGGGCCATAACAGCATGGGCCTTTGACAGTGCTGGGCCAGGCCAGATCAGGGCAGAGCCCCAGTTCTGCAGGTCCACTCTGTCACAGCCCATGGAGACTGTCCAGAAGTCCAGCCACTGGCTCAATCCACCATTTTGCACACCCCTACCAAGAGTGGGAAAGCTAAAATTAAATCTGGGTGCTCAGCATGAGAATTAGTCTTTCGGGCAGGAAACTGATCAGCATACTTAGTTTTACTAAGGAGCCAGAAGATAGATGCTGGCAAACATGTCTCCAAGTAAAATCCATGCTTACCCAAATAAATGGTCAAATGTAGGAAGCAAAAAAATGCTACAGGCCCAGTTTGTATGTCCAAAAGTAGAGTTGTGTCTGAAAAGACTTGCGTCTTGGATCAGTGGTTATTCTGAAGTTTGTTGTTCTAAAGGATCAGAATTTTGTTCCCACTCCGAGCAGTGACCTGTGGTATTTATTTAGTAAAGGTTATATGTTTCTTGGAGGAACACTGCCTTGCTTGCATCATTTTATGCTAAAACTGATAGGCTGTTGCTTGATGTTCCAACAGAGGAACATGTCCTGATCACTACATTGGAAACAAGGAAAATAAAATGGATAGTTTTCAAGAAACTACTAACTTCTTTTTGGCAACTGAGAGGACTTTTTATATCTTGGGGCTGGAAGATGCACCATCTTTTCAGAGTTCTCCTTTCTACGTCAGCCCCAGATTAGTTTGCTGCACCATGGATGGCATAGAGCATTAAACACTGAACTGATCTCTCTAGATATCATCCTTTCATCCAGTTACATTTCAGGATATTTGCTGGAGTCTTCATATCATTCACACTTCTCCACTACACAAAATCTCATTTCTCCTAATAGTTATAGATTATAAGTATGACATCTGTATCTCTCTTCAACTGGGGAAGCAGAGGGTAGCCTTTAGGTCAGAGATATGCCCTCTGTCATCCCCACAAAAATAAACTCTAATTTGGTCTTCTCTTTATATCTTCAACTGTGCCCATAACAATGGTGTCCTAATGACCTAGTATCCTACTCGCTGCTTGGGACAAGGGGCCAATGAGGACGTGGAACATAAACATTGTGCAACTGAAGTCTGTGGAGAGAGAAACCAAGTAATAAAGGACTTGGAAGAGCTGGGCAAAGAGGGTGCATTAAAAAATCCAAAGGGATGGGGGAAATGGGAATGACTGAGCAAGAAGATTGGGAGTTAGATGAGAAACCTAAGAAGTGGAGAAGTGGAGACTGTGAATAGCTATGTGAAATAAATGGGACTGGGACAAATTGCCAGGATAGAGAACAGAGAACATTCAAACTGGATAGCTGGAGGGGATGGGGCAGCAGGGTGAAAGCCTGGGGGGAATGTGTAGAAGAGTCTGTGCCCAGTAGAGCACATTCTTCTCCAGAACCTGGAATGGAACCCATGAGGCCTGACTTTCAGCATTCCTCCACGGTCAGCAAATATCTTTGACGTTCACTGGCAAACAGTGTGTCTAATTCCCTCCAAGTGCTGGTCCACATACAGAATGAGAACCTACCACTGCTATCAATTACTCCCTTTGATCCAGTGGCAGAGGCCTAGGCAGTAGCTCTAAAGATCCCAAGAGATGACTTTTGAAGGTGTCAGTTTAATGCTGGAATACATTTCTTTTTCAGCTTGCTTTTAAAAAACTGAGGACACCACACACATGTATAAAAGTATGCATACACAGAGAGCCTACATTGAAAGAACATTATTAAGGTTGCAAATTCAAGCACTCAGGAAATAGGATGTCAGAATTAAGGTTTCCTGTGCCATCTTAACCATATCCTTATTTTACAGAACCCTGGCTGGGGCTACAGTAACAAAAACAATAATACTAATAACTCAGTTTTTTAGGGTCTTGTTACACCTAACACTGTGAGATGCACAAATGTTGATTGATATTAGTGCTAGCTCAAGTTTGGTGCGGTCACACGTTCAGGCCATAAGGAGCCTGGAGGACCGCAAAGTAAGACCTCCCTCGCCTTCCATTCTGGGCTTCCCCTCTTACCCCTGCCCTCTGGGGCTCTGATGTTCTCCCCTGCACCTGGAGTGCCCCCATCCCACCCCTGCTTACTTATAGCTGCCTGTATTGTCTGTCCCAGGAAAGCAGGCAGGGAAGAGTTAACCTGCCTCCTGGGCAGCAGCTGCTGCTGTGCTGTTGCTCTTCTCCAAGCTGAGTTCATCCAGAAAGCAGCAGTGGTGGAGGCTGAGCAGGAAGGTAAACCCTTCTTGCCTGCCCTGGACAGACAATGCAGACAGCCACAGGTAAGCTGGGGAGGGAGCAGGGATCTGTGGTTCTGGGGAGGGCGGAGGCAGTAGGCCTGATCTGGGCCAGGAGGGGAGGCAGGGCAGGCGGGGTGTTTACACTAAGGTGTAACACAAGCTGAGTAACATGGATCAGAGATAATCCTGCCCTGGAGTAGCATAACTTTGAACCATGTAACGACCGCTTAAAACTAGTTTCAGGTGTTAATGTGCGGACAGTCCATGTGTTAAGAGTTCATAGGAGCCACCCAGAATTACCATGTAACAAGCCCTTATGGTGATCTCCTTTGTATTTGACAAGAATTAGCTAATTATTCTTCACAAACCACCCAGAGGGAGTAAAGTATTATTATTCCCATTTTATAATTACGTAAAATGAGGTAGAGAGATTACAAAGGAAATCAGTAGCTGAACTCGTATTAACATCAATTCTTGAATCGTGGTCATCCTTGCACACCAAGGCTAGGGACAGACATTCAAAAAGACTGAGCCTAAATTGATTCAATCTTTGCAGATTAGTCTAACCTGGCTAGGCTGAACCGATTTGTAACCGTACAAACATTCCCTCTGGACAGTACAGACATTCCCTCTGGACTGAGAAAATGCAGGCCCCAGCAGGACACTCTGATTAGAGTCCCTGGCCCCCCCTTGCTGCTTCTGACCAGCCCAGCGGTGAGTTGATAACATAGCATTTAGCACTCCATCAAAAAAACAAAAGCCTCTCTCGTTAGTTCAAGCTCTTCTTAAACACCTTTTTCCAAGGAAAGAACTGAGGGACATTACCAGCTACCTGTTGATTAGCTCCAAAAATCCCTAAGTAGACATTGTCCTATCTGCCTTTGTCTTGTCTGCCTTACACAGATACCCCTCAGCATTAGCTAGCATACCATGTGCTAGCTGTGGTCCATTCTCTGGGAGAAGGGACGGGGAGAATCCCTACTTGGGGGAAAGGGGAGGCAGGAGCAGGAGGAAGCCAGGCAGATGCTGATGTGTCTGCAGTCTCTGCTGGAGCTCCCACAGGGAGCAGAGGGATGGGGCCAGCCCTGCTGTGGAGCAGAGAGCTCCACCCAGGGCTGAAAAGCATCTGGGATGCTGGGGGACTCTGGCTTAAGCTAAACCAGGAAAGGGTCTGGGACAGACATTGCGTAAACTGGTTTGACCCAAATCAGTTAAGTCTGATACTACGTTTAACCAGGTTTACCTCACACAGGTTTCAGCCATTTTCAAACTGGTTTATGTGCACTGAATGTCTGTTCTGTTATAAGTTTAAACCAGTTTCTGATCACTTAAACCAATTTATGTGTAATGTCTGTCCCTAGCCCAAAAGACTCTTCTCCCCTTGCTTTTATATTTCTTCATATTTTACAGCATTTCTGGGAAAATCATGACAAGCAGGTTGTCATGATGTTCCCTAATCTCATTGGCACTGGAAAAAATCTGAGAACTCCCTTCATGCCAGTAGACTTACCCCAGATTTAGATGCCCACTTAATGAAAAAAATTCACACCTAAAAAATCTCCAGTGCTTTTGTAAACAACCTATTTTTTTCCAGTTATTTAATCATTTGTGAATTCTGCTTAACACAATTTTAAAAGAACTGCCTATTTCACATGGCGTAATAAGGGAATGAAATGTGATCATGAAGGAACAGGAAAAGTTTAACTACTGTACAATGTTGGGTTTTTTTACTTTTCATTAATATTGTTAACAAGGGGAAAAAGAAGGGCTACAGGCCACAACTCAAACTCACCTTCAAAGGCCTGATTGATGACTCCAGTGGACAATGTCTTGCTATAAAGGTGAGAGGTATAGCACAGAGGAGAGTTTCTCACCTCTTGCATTTGATCCTGAATATAACAGAAAGTGGGTCTGTTACATGGTTCTTGGACCCAGCATCTTATCACCAAGTCCCATCTGAAAAAAAATAAATGACATATTATTAAATATAATGCCAACACTTAATCCTCACCAAGGATCCTCACCTGGCATAAATGGGCATATCTCCACTGACTTCAGTTAGACCTATGATGACTTTCACTAGTAGAGGATCTGGTCCAGGAGATTTCAGTAATGGCAAGTGAGAGGAATAGAATCCAAGAAATCAATGATTGTTACACATGTTCACCATGAAAACTATTTTATTTTACCAAAACAGATGTTTCTGAAACCTAGAATCCACTGTAATATTACAAAAATTACATACTTATCAAGGTTGCCTGAATGCTTTCTAGATGCCACTAAGGCCCTCTCTATCTGCTACACATAAGGCTCTCTATCTGTTACACATCAACCAGCTAATCATACCCTAACTTGTGACCCAGCTACATGTTCCTCCAATTAGTGGCTTGATAAAACAAGCAATACAAAGTTATTCCACATAAAAGTGGAATTTGTAGCTTGTTCTAATCGTACCAATAATTGAACGTGTGGCCAAGTGCTCCCCAGTAGCTGGAAGCCCATCAGCTGAAGGGCTCCCAGTCACAGGGGTGCACTGCCCACTGTCAGCCTTGCAGCTGACAAGGCTCTTAGCAGGGGCAGCCTCTTTGGCTGTAGGGCTTGAAGCGGGGGCAGCATCTTTAGCTGTGGGGCTCTTAGTGGGTGTGGCAGGGAGCACACTGCCCCTGCTGTGAGCTTCATGTGCTATGGGGCTTATAGCAGTGGCAGCAGGGAGAACATTGCCACCACTGTGAGCCCCACAGCTAACGATGCTCACAGCGAGGGCAGCATTCCCAGCTCTGCCCTGGCTGCGAGCGCTGCAACCCATGTTGGCTACAGGGTTTTCAGTGGGACAGTGCAGGGGAATGCTGCCCCCACTATGAGCCCCACCAAGCCCTGTCAGCTGTAAGGCTCATAGGTACAGAAGCTGGTGCAGACAGAACCCCATATCATGATCCCAGGCTCGCCTTGCACCAGTGATAAGGTGCAATGGGATCTAATGTGTGATCCCACAATCACACCTCCTGCCATGCACGGTTGGCATGGCAGGAGGCACAATTGTGTAGATCATGCATTAGATCCCATCACATGTTATCACTGCTGCAAGGCGAGCCTTGGATCACAATTACCTGCGTGTGTAGAGGGGCCCTGAGATGTAGATATTTGCAAACAGAATCAAAAAACCAATAACATCAATCACTAAGGTGACTAAGCTATAATGCTTAGTCACTAATCACTGTTTCCTCAGGCAGGATATGAATTGTGAGCACTCCATATTCCATTAGATGAACTGAATCATCTGTTCATTCATTGATAAAATGCTTTATTATCCAGTTTTGAAACCTCTTCTCTCCTGACATTCAGTGGATGCAGATACTATGATTTCTTATAGTTCAACAAACTTAAAGCTAAAATCACTCAGAATCATGATGGGCCATTTTAGTATCTTGCATATTCTTATTTCCTAAACAAATTTGCTTAGATAGTTCAATTTATTAATGCCAGATATGATGGGTAACATGGAACAATAATATCATTAAAATATTTATCTGATTCTCAGAATCAAAAATATTCACTCAGCCTCTTAATGTGTATGGTATTTTGCATGGATAGCTATTTGTGATGTGCCAGATTTTATCAATGACATACAAAGCAACCTGTGATATCCAGCTTTTCTTTCATGTTACATGGTGAAAATTTGCATTAGATAGAAAACTCAGCAAAAAAACTCAGCAAGACAACTTACTAGAAAATTCAGTAAGTTGAGCAGTAAACAGAGAGCAGTTGCTCTGGGGTAAGCAGTGCAAGTGCAAGGCGGCCTTGAATAGGTTTTTCTCTGTGCTAGTGGCCTAGGGTGGCTGACTGGTGCTACTGTGTTTGACTAGGGCCTAGTGTGTGTGTCTGGGGGTGTTCTTTTTTCCTTTTCCCCCTGTGTTGTGTGTTTGCTTTTCTCTGTCTGGCTGGCTGTTTGTCTGTCTCTCTCTCCCCCTTGCTCTCATATTTTTCTTTTCTTCCCTCCCCCATGTGACTAAGGGCACTGACACAAGTGACATTTTGTTGTGCAATCAGCCCCCTGAAGCACTTTACAGCTGTGCCCTTTCAGACAGCTGCAGAGCACTTTGAAAGGGCTACGTCTCATGACAATCTGAACCCTCATTATATGAAGGTTCAGAAGAAGGTGCTCCAAGGTACGGCACCTTCGTTAACTTACGTTACCACATGCTGGGAGCAGAGCTGGGCTGAGCAGGGGGAGTTCAGTCCACCTGCTCCACCTTCCAGCACAGGCTGGGCAAACCCCAAACCAAGCCTGACCAGACCTCCACTCCTTTCCTGACCTCCCTTTCTGAGGGAGCACTGGGGCTGAGAGTGGGGAGGGGCAGGGCTAGGAAAGAGTAACTGCATACTCACACTTGCTCCAAACTGCAGCTTGATCCCCCAACCCATGGGACCCAACAGCAAATGTCTGTTGGGTCTGGGGAATCACTGTAACTCACAGTGTTTATGTGAAGTACCATGAGTTACAGCAGAGAGCTGCATGTCTGTCAGTGCCCTCAGTAACAGGGCTTGCTCTGAGTGGGGCTGGTTTAGGCAACTGTGAAGTGGAGCTGTGAAGTGGAGCTAGGATAGGCAGCCTTATGAAAAGGCAGCCCCCAGTGAACCATAACAGCAGCAAACAGGGTGCATCTACACAAGATGTTGTAACTACGCAGTAACTGCGTGTTTACTGCACAGCTGCCTAGTTAGTGCAGTAAATGTCTCAGTGTCTACATGGCTCCTCTATCCTGGCTCAATGTGCTGTGGTCTGAGAGCAGATGCAGACGTGTGCCTGGCAGCAATAAGCTCCAGAATGATAAACTCCAGAATTTATTGCTGTGCATTTATAGGCATGTGTGAACACACCCACAGAGAGGGAGTTTGCCTAGGGAGTTTGCCCCAGGAGGGAGCCAGGGAGCAGGAGACTGTGCATGGGTGTGTTTGAGTATGTGCAAGGGTCCTGGTGTGATATATGGTGTTCAGATATCCGTGCTGCATTGCATCAGGAACCAGGAAGATTACTTGGACAAGAGTTACGAGAAGCTGGTAATGGAGAAGTGGCAGCATGTAACTTCTTGAAGGAGAAGGGTCCTCAGAATTCAAGAGCAGCAGATTGAAGTCAGCAACCACTTTCAAGTACTCCGTGGTGAAACTTTTGAGGAAAAGGAAGCAGAATGGACATCTGCAGGCATCAGGCAGAGGAGTCAGTAGCCTAGAGCACAGGTAGTGCAAGACCCAAGGAAAGGGGCTCCAGGACCACTGCACCAAGAAGGAAGAGAAGAGTAGTGGTGGTTGGTGACTCTCTTCTGCAGGGGACAGAGGCACCAATTTTTTGTCCACATTTGGGGGCCCAAGAGGAGTCTCAGAAAGACTACAAAAGTTCATCCATCCTTTGGACCACTACTCCTTCCTGCTTCTCCATGTAGAAACCAATGATACTACCTGAGCAGATCAGAGGTGACTATGAGGCTCTTGGCAGGAGGATTAAGGAGCCTGGAGTACAAGTGGTGTTCTTAACAATTCCAGGCAGAAACTATTGTATCCTGGAAGTGAATACATGGCTGAGATGGTGGTGTCAACGTGAAGGCCTTGTCTTTGTTAACAATGGGTGTACATTCTTGGGAGAAGGATTACTATCAAGAGATGGAATCCATCTGACAAGAATGGTGAAAAGTACATTTGGACATCATCTGGCCAGCCTAAAAAGGATGACTTTAAACTAGGTTCCACAGGGGATGGTGATCAAAACCTTCCAGCAAGAGACCACACAGAGGCCAATGTGGTTGCAGAAAAAGCTTCTAAAATACCTCAAATGCAAAAGGGAAGCATACAGGCAGTGGAAGAAGGGGCAGGTCAACAAGGAAGCATACCAAGAAATGGCATGTATCTACAGGGACAAAATCAGGAAGGCAAAGATAAAGAATGAGTTGCACCTGGCAAAGGAGGTTAAGGACAACAAGAAGAGGTTCTATATGTCGGCCAGAAAAGAAGGACCAAGGAAGCTGTGGATCCTCTGTTAACAAGCCAGGAGAAATTCCTATCTGAAGATGTAAAAAGGTGGATCTACTCAACAGCTACTTTGCCCCATTCTTTGCAAAAAAATTAAGCTGCAGCCAGACACCTAATAGGGATTATCTGGATAAAGAAGAGGGCAAGCTGTGGGAGGAGATAACAATAGAAGTAGTCAGAAAGCTTTTGTTTGGTCTGAATGTATTTAAGTCAACAGGGCCAAATGAACATCATTCCAGGGTACTGAAGAAAATGGCAGCGGAGATCTTGGAGCCCTTGGCAATGATATTCATGAAGTCATAGAAGATGAGGTAGGTACCAAAGGACTGGAAAAGGGCCAACACAGTGCCCCTCTTTAAAAAAAGGCCAAATGAAGGACTCAAGGAACTACCAGCCAGTTAGCTTCACTTCAATACCTGGAAAGTTACTGGAGCATAAGCTGAGGAAGGTCACTTGCAAACCTCTGGAAGAGGAAAGGCTGATCATAAGCAGCCAGCATGGATTTATGAAAAACAAATCATGTCAAACAAATATGATCTCCTTCTTTGACAAAGTAACTGCTTGGGTGGATGAAGGGAATGCTGTGGATACAGTGTATCTGGACTTCAGCAATCTTTTGACAAGGTGCCACATGACCTTTCATAAACAAATTGGAGAAATGTGGGCTAGACAAAACTACTATAAGGTGGATACTGGTAACTGCCAACTGGCTCAATAGCCACAAGCCAAAGGTAATTATTAATGAGTCCATGTCAGAACGGCAGGAGAATTTTAGTGGAGTCCCACAGAAGTCTCTCAGGGGCCTGGTGCTGTTCAAAGTGTTTATTAATAATGTGGATGCTGGCATAGAAAGCTTCTTGAGCAAGTTCATAGCTGACATGAAACTGGGAAGGATTGTGAATATGTTGAAGGATGCAAGCTCATTTCAGGAGGAT